ATTAGCATGCTTAGAATTCATCGCAATATAGTTTGAAGTCGTTTCCTGTTGTTTCACTGCTCTGTGTCTGGTCGTTTCACGTTTTCATTGGTCATTTCCTGGTCGTTTCACGTTTTCATTGGTCATTTCCTGGTCGTTTCACTGGTCATTTCCTGGTCGTTTCACGTTTTCATTGTCATTTCCTGGTCGTTTCATGTTTTAGTAAGTACGCATTTTGACTTGCAAACTGCAATACAATACGCTTCAATTGAAATTGGTTCCAAATATGTTCCAACTTTGTTGACAATACCAATAAACACATTCTCTTGGAAGCAGTTTGTATTTAAGGTTAAGATCCATAGCAGATTCAACAACTGAACTGGAATATTCTTCAAATTTAGAAGTTTTAAGAACATCAACAGTATTCCTTCAATCTCCAATTCTACAGTCATATTTAGAGAAAACATGGATAAAGAATCATAAGGTATTCCTAAAATCATCTACTTTGAAGAAATTTCTAGTTGGCAAGTATTTAGAGGGGGTTAGTTATAGAGTTCAAAATGCCACACTTGGAACAATGTCACCAATTTAGATAATTGTCTGGATGAATGGCAAATATTAACTACTTGACATAATACCAGTTTTGATCTTTTTCAGTTAGATGAACATGTGAACATTTCTATAAAATGTCCTTGCTTTCTTTCCCTCAATCCATTTGTTACAGTTTTCATATGTTATCTGTTTTTCTGTTTTGCATAATGTTAAAACTTAATGTACATCATGGAAAGGTTGATTATAAGTTTTTATATCTTACTTACATGGATGAGCACTATTTGATCTTTTCAATTACTGGTTATGAATTACTAGATATAAGCCTAGAAGATATAGTGGAAATTGAAGAAAATGTCAGTATAGATTATAGAATTTTAGAAGTCATCATATTATTATACGCCTACATGGAAACATATATTGCTGTTGCCCCTGTCGGTCTCATTTCATGTAGACACGATAAAGGCTACAGTTTTTATCCGATCTTGATGAAATTTGATATGCATGTATATATTGATCAGATCTTGGTCAGGTTCGAAGTTGGTATTATTGGATTGATGGTTTTGGAGTAATTGCCCTTGATAGAGTGAAAACTTGTCAAACTTAGTCTGCTGTACCATAAAGGTGTCAAGTTTGATCTGTAAAGATTATAGAGACTACAGTGTTTATCTGATTTTGATGTAGTTTGAAATAAACTTCAAATCATCAAGTTTGATGCCCTACCTGCATATGACATGAGCTCTATTTGACACTCAAAAGGCTTGAGGTCTCAGTTTAAGAATATTTGTACTGATATTACCATTAAAATGTCTTGTTTTTAGGAAAGTTCATCCCCTAAAAAGAAACCTAGGCTTGTATAATCAAAAGTGATGAATGATGATAAGGTAAGTTGAAAGGTTTTGTAAATGTGACATGATCACCTCAAGATATTATGAAAGTACACCAGTAAATTCATATTAAAGAAAGAAAGATGAGACAGATTATGTTTTTAGCCCTTGATCAAACATTTTTGCTTAGTTTTTTTATGAGATTATCTGTAACAATTTACAAATGGGTTGACACCTATGATGAAGAATGATGACATATTCAAGGTCTGTGGACCTTCACAGACTGACCTATATAAAATCCCTATCCACCTTTTATTTGACATAACCCAGCAGATATCATCATGTAAAAATCTCAATGCTCTAAATAACTGTGCTTCAGTCGATCTTTTTTCGTATCTGTCTTTAAATGCTTATTTCAGTTATATCTAATAGACACCTGATAGACGCCTGATACCACTTTTGAAATACTTACTCATTTATGATTAATATACTAAATACTTCCTCATGTGAAAAGCTCATTAGCTGCTACCTATGTTTTGCCAATTATGTTTTTGGATTTGTTTGGAAATTGTATTGAATTGTAGTTATAAGAATTTTGCAAAATGATCCTGAAATTTTGAGTTCATTTGAAATTTTGAGTTCATTTGACAGTTTGAGTTTATTTGAAAACAATAAACACACTTGCTTCCAAAGACTTTTTGGTTATTCTACTGAGAAACTTTATTGTTTTTATTTCCTCTTCAAACAAAATGTTTCAAAACTACACCTCAATCTCATTACAAAGTCAAACGTAAGTGCTGAAACGTGCAGAGCATTGTGCTTTTTTTTCATAATATATGATATGGTAGTTAATAGTGACTGTAGATAAGTTGAGTGATGGAAGATGGTAATATGGTAGTTAATAGTGACTGTAGATAAAGGTGAGTGTTGGAAGATGGTGATATGGTAGTTAATAGTGACTGTAGATAAAGGTGAGTGATGGAAGATGGTAATATGGTAGTTAATAGTGACTGTAGATAAAGGTGAGTGTTGGAAGATGGTGATATGGTAGTTAATAGTGACTGTAGATAAAGGTGAGTGTTGGAAGATGGTGATATGGTAGTTAATAGTGACTGTAGATAAAGGTGAGTGATGGAAGATGGTAATATGGTAGTTAATAGTGACTGTAGATAAAGGTGAGTGATGGAAGATGGTAATATGGAAGTTAATAGTGACTGTAGATAAAGGTGAGTGATGGAAGATGGTGATATGGTAGTTAATAGTGACTGTTAATAGTGACTGTAGATAAAGGTGAGTGATGGAAGATGGTGATATGGTAGTTAATAGTGACTGTAGATAAAGGTGAGTGATGTAAGATGGTAATATGGTAGTTAATAGTGACTGTAGATAAGGTGAGTGATGGAAGATGGTGATATGGTAGTTAATAGTGATTGTAGATAAGGTGAGTGATTGAAGATGGTAATATGGTAGTTAATAGTGACTGTAGATAAAGGTGAGTGATGGAAGATGGTGATATGGTAGTTAATAGTGACTGTAGATAAAGGTGAGTGATGGAAGATGGTAATATGGTAGTTAATAGTGACTGTAGATAAGGTGAGTGATGGAAGATGGTAATATGGTAGTTAATAGTGACTGTAGATAAAGGTGAGTGATGGAAGATGGTAATATGGTAGTTAATAGTGACTGTAGATAAAGGTTAGTGATTGTATGATATCAGTTGGTAGTTAATAGTGACTGTATAATGATAAATGATGGTGGTTTGGTTGTTAATGGTGATAGTAGATAAAAATAAGTGATGGTAGATGATAATTTGGTAGTTAATGGTTACTGAAGATAAAAATAAGTGATAGAATATGACAAGTTGGTGTTTATTGGTTATTGATTGTAGATGGTGATATGGTTTTTAAATGGTTATTTATATACATGTTATGGTAAGTGGTGATAATGATATTTGAACTCACTGATGGCATTAGATAAAAATTAAGTTAATAAAGAAATTTGATGTGCTAAATTACAAATCAATTTTTCCATCTAAATTGTTTCAAGTTAGTTAAGAGTATCCAGTCCCTTTAATTGATGCAATTTCATTATTTCGGCTACAAATGAACCGACGACTTAGCAGTAAGCATAAAACCAGGCCAGATTACATTTGGCATGCATGCACTCAAAAGCCTCTGTCTCGGGATTTTGAAAGTTGGCTTAATTCTTTTTATTGATTTTACATTTCAGTAATGTCTTCAAGATTACAGGAGACAATATTGATCAACTAATAGAGGAAATTATTGCTTACCAATAATAAAGAACTGTTCATAGTGGTGGAAATATGTGGACAGTGAAACAATAATAGTTTGGACAAATGAAGCTTAATAGATTTAATCAAATAAATTTCTGCTAATCTGTCAGATCAGTTTGTCAAATGTGTTGACTTTTCTTCACTTGCAGCTGGTGGCCTTGGAAATGGTTCTCTTTATTGTTCAATATATTGAAGTTGTTGTGCATATTGGGTGTACATCTTTATATATTATATATTTATAGAAATTTCAATGTGAATCAAATGAAAATTTTTAAAAGTTACTGTTATAATAATTGTTAGATAAAATTGTATATAAATATTTAATGAATGTGTTGTTTCGTTTTAAAATCCTATGTTTAATATGGTTCAAAACTCCATCCGATAAGTAGTTTTTGGAGAGACGGCCTATGCCCAACCTAAATAATCTCCATGATATAGTCTGATCAGTTCCATGTAAAACAGTCGTTTCCTCACAACATTCAATTTTTGCATAGATAAAGTCGGATTATAAGTACCCTGTCGGCATATGCACATTTCCAATTTTTTACGCATTTTCACTCTGGAATTATACCTATAATGGGTTTGGGTGAAATGTTAAGAAGTTTTGAGGGTTTGACACCCCTCCCCTAGCCCATTTAACCCCAAATACGTCATATAATACTCAGAAATGTCGGAGTTATCTCCAAAAAATTGCCCCTTTTCGGACCCAATTGGATTCTAGGCACTGAAACTTTTCCAGGTGATAGTCAGATATACTCTCCAACTTTCCTGCAAATTTCGACTCGATCGGTTGAGGGGTCCATTTTTGGCATCCCAATTCCCCACCATATTGAATTTATGCATAGATAAAGTTGGATTATAAGTAAGGTCGACCCTGTCGGCATATGCACATTTCCAATTTACGTATTTTCATCAAACTCTGGAATTACACATAAAACTTGCTTGGGTTAAATGTTAAGAAGTTTTTAGGTTTCGGGGAAGGGAGGGTTTGATTCTCCCAAATGTACAAGCCTAGGGTGGAGCAGACACTTTATTTAGAAATTAAGATTAAGGGTCTTGATATTGGGTTTTCTTCTGTTCTTATTCTGATCTGAAATTAGAAAAAATAACTCGCCCGATGGGCGAGAAGTATAGTATCTGTTATGTACTGATTGTTTTTAGTTTACTATGAACAATATTATCATTTAAGTTCTTATTTTTCGAATATGCAACTATCATTTTCTGCTTATAGACATGGGGGAATTTCTCTTGAAAGCTCTTATAGTGGGCATGAACTATCTTGCTTGCTCGATTGCTGGTTGTATTAAACGGGACAACAAAGGGTGCTATGCCTACATTATGATGAATATTTAGTCCTATAGGTCTTGCTGTATTCAATGTATCAATCCAATGGGCCTCCCTAGATTGACGGAATTTGGTAGTTTCATCTTCGGGCAAGTCAATTTCTATACGCTCAATTGGGATTAGGGTGAGATCGTCTATTGAATGGTCGTCGAGGTGGAAATGATTAGAAACAGGCTTGTCTTTCTTTAATTTGATGTCTGACCTATGAGCATTAAAGCGAGTTCGTAAATTATTCTTAGTTTCTCCTACATATTGTTTGGGGCATTTCTTGCATGAAATTAAATATATTACATTCGAATGTTCACATGTTAGATGTTCCTGGATCGGGTACCTTTTATTCGTACAGTTGCTTACAAAATAATGAGTTTCTGATATAAAGGGACATGTTTTGCATTTACTGGACAAACATGGAGCACTTCTTAAACCTGGAGGTACTTCGGCATAAAGTCTGTTTTTAGCTGCTATCTGTGCTAAGGTAGAATTTTTTATGTTTCGTAAAAATCGTTTAGAATACCCACGCTCTTTCAGTTTTGAGAAAACAATCGTACAGACTTGGTTGATATCAGACGATCTTGTACAAATTCGATGAAATCGTAAAACTTGTGACTTAATTATACCAGAAAAGGTATGTTTTGGGTGAAAGGAGCTCTTGTGCAAGAGTTGATGAGTATCTGTTTCTTTGAAATACACTTTAATATCCAGTTTATTTGTTTCTGCTATGGAATCTCCCTTAAAGACTGTGGTATCGAGAAAGTCTATGCTTTTGTCACTCACGTTTGCGGTTAGTTTGATAGAAGGATGGTGGTTGTTGAGAATTTCAAAGAATTCCCAAAACTGTTCGATAGAATAAGTCCAAACCATAAAAATGTCATCCAAAAAGTGTCCGTAAAAAAGTGGGTCAAATGGACAGAGGGGCAACACCTCACGTTCCCACTCTGCCATGAAAAGGTTTGCGTACGAAGGGGCGAATCGTTTGCCCATTGCTGTCCCTGAAGTTTGTAAATATGTTTTACCATTAAATGTGAAATCGTTTCGACTAAGACAAATCTCTAAAAGTTGTAGAATTGCATCGTCGGGTCTGTTTGGATCGGGGTTTCTATTAAAAGCTTTACGAACTGCCGTTAAACCAGTAGTGTTATCGATATTGGTATACATAGAAGAAACGTCGATAGAAATTAAAATAGCATTAGAGGGAACTCGAAGATTTTTTATTTTATTGACAAAATCGGTTGTGTCTTTAAGGTAGGCGCGATGTTGGCATGCTAGAGGTAGTAAGAAATGATCAATGTATTCTGACACTGCATATGACTCACTACCACAGTAAGATATAATCGGGCGGCCTTTAGGGATTTTATTCGAGATAAACCACTCCTTGGTTGGATTCTTATGGATTTTAGGCAAAGTGTACAAATGTCTCTCGCGACAATCAGGTTTGGCAGACAGATAGTCATATTGTTTCTGTTTGAGATAACTAGTTTTGACTAAATCGGCAAGAATATTATTAATCATGTTAGCAGTTTCTTTGAAAATTGGTTTCGGTAAAATGGCATAATGTTTAGGATTATTCAGTTGATTCTCTGCTTCTGAAACGTAATCCTCCCTATTCAGAATGACACAACATGAACCTTTGTCACTCTTTTTAATAACAATGCTATCGTCTGTCTTTCTTAAGTAAGGTTAACGCTTCACGTTCCACTCGTGTGAGATTAGGCTTTTCGTGTGTTATGGAAAGGTTCGCTGTTTGGCTATTCATACTCGCAAATACTTTCAATATTTCAGGATGGATGGCGGCCTGAGGGGGACTCCACGTGGATTTAGGAATAAACATTGTTCTAGCTTCACGTGGGGGTGGTTTCGAAAAAAATATGTGCAGGTAAGATTCCGTTGGAATCGTTCAATGGATGGTCGGAGATAATTTAAGTTAGCTATCTTTGGTGTGGGAATAAACTTAAGTCCACGGTCTAAGATTGAATGCTGAAGGGGTGTGAGAATTTTTCGGCTCAAGTTAACTACAGTTTGGTCTAGCGGTGGCCTCTCAGTATTTTTATCCCCAGTAATTAGTTTTAAAGACTTACTCGATGCTTGAAGCTGGTGTATCCAAAACAAATAAATGCTGTTTGCTGTTTCTGGAGACCAATGAAGATTATCAACTGGTTCGAATTCTTCTTCGTAGGGTGGTAAGATTGTTGCGCTGTTGATACTAGACTCCATCATCATGTTGTTGAGGGTGCTGAGGTTCTGTTGTGCTTTCTTCGAGATTTTATTTGAAATGGGTATACATGTTAAGAGGATCTTGGAGTTTGGGAAGGTTTTGTTGGCTGTAGCGATTAATTTCTGTTCCCCATTGATACTTCCTCTTTTTACCAAAAAGACTCTCATCAATTTCAATTATATCACTATCGACTCTTCTCCTAAATTCGATAGATTTGC